AAATACATATATAATAGTAAATACATACATTCGTCTAAAAATAATATATTTATATAAAAATTCACATAGGTTTTTGTTGTTTATTTTCAAAAACAAAAATAAAAGAGCTATTTTTTGTTTGAACTGATTAGGCTATTTATTTATGTTTTTTTTTGTTTTTTTTCAGTAGCATAGGCTAAAATATGTTCTTTGAAATAATTGATATGTAAATACATAGCCGCCATGGCAGATTTTCCAGAACGAAACTTTTATGGAAATAAAACGAAAAAGTCACTTGTTGGCCGACTTCATTTGCATTGTCGCTAATGACTACCCAGATTATCATTTTTCTGCGCCCTATCGATCTTCCATTTGGATTTTGGCATTTTCATCAATCATGAAGCTGTTGTTGTGAGTTGCTTGCTCCTCCCACGCTCCATGCCTAAAGCCGAATCTTGGCCTACTCTCCGTCTCTCATACTTCATTGAACTTCTTCGTCTTGACTTCAGGTCTTCAGTGCTTGCGGTCTTGCACTTCTGAAGTTTTAACTTTTCAAAGTTTGTTTCACTTTTGAAGTTGGACGAAGGATGTTTTTTCTTCCGCAAACTGGGCAAGCAGCTGAAGTACAAATATTATTACTAATATTATATTGGAGAGTTTTTATTATAGCGAATCGATTACCGATATAATTTATGTTGAAAGCTTTTTCTATATTTAATATTTCTTTTGTCCAATAGTTATTACTATTAGCGCCATTAACTACCACTGTTATGGGGTTTCGAAACTTCTATCGAGGCAAAATGCAATAAAGAAGTACATACAATTCGGGGCAGCTCCACTGATTCAGGATTCTAAATTCGCGTGTCCATTTGGGACAGTCAATATGTATTCCACAATATTTGTTTCTCACAGAGAGGACCTTTGTTTCGGACATTGTATATATAATTATCTGCCTACTTCACACACAGCAGGACGGGGGTATACAACTGGGTAAGGTTGTAAATACAAACAGTCGCCGTTAAAATACCAGCCGCAGTCGGTATAACACTGTAACAGACGGTGCATGGACACTGTTTGACAAATTTTTATACAAAGTGGATCAGGTCTCATAGTGAGTTTCTCACTGAGAACGGTTCGCTTGTTGACCTGCACGAGGGAAGATGGAACTGGCCATAGTTGCGCTAGAATCACTTCAGCGTTCAAAATCAGTCACACTGCGCTGCCTTGTGCGACTTCATTTATAGTCAATAATCGTATATTGCTCACTTCCTGCTGAAGGCATACCTTATAGTGTTGTGGCTGCTATATA